GTTTCACATTCTCTGTAGTGACAAAAGTTTATTTCACGGTAACTGTTTTAGTGATGTAGCACCAAGGTAAATTAATTGTGCTTGATAGTTCCTCATATGTTGTATGTGTTTATTGCACTAAACAAAGTTTCTTCATGCTATTTTTCTTTCTGCACTCCACTTTTCTTTGAAGCTTTTTACTAGATAATACAACGTAGTACTTTTGCCCTGCTTTATTCTAAGTACAAGGGAAGAATTTTAAATGATCAATTCACCACATCCGGGCATTTTATCATGTAAGAATTTCTGTCTGTTAGCTGTCCAAGTTGGGTTTGATTGTCCGTAACTCAGGCATGAATATCCAGGGTGTATGTTGACTGCACATTCATGTTGTGGGAAATAACGTTGCAGTACCGTAGCAGTGCAAGGTCTCTGAGGAGGGGATTCCTTGCATGAGCCCTGCTCATGTCTCTTGTGTTCCTTAGTTTGATGCTGAACTTCTCATTTGGGGTATGTGGTTTTTACCCTTGTGAGAGCTGTCAGTGATGAGTCTCTCCATCCTAGCTCATCTCTCTGAGTCATCAGGATTTATTCAATTTTCTTTGTCCTTTGTCTCCCAACCCAGGCGTGCTGAGAAGCTGCACGTGAATGCATTTGCATACCCATTTTTATATTTTCAGTCTGAAAATTGTTCTCTAAAAGCAGAGTGGGGAATGCAGTGAAGACTATCTATCTTCTGAATTAAAGGAGAAAATCAGGGGAGAAAAACACTATTTTTTTTAGAAATGGTCTAATGTATTAGGGATAATATATGACCTAGTGAATCTTGTTCATGTAGTAAAACCAGCCAACAAACTCTACCAACTCTAAACCAAACAAGCTAGCAAGCACATCTGAATAAATTAATATTCTGTTTATGTATTATTTTAATATTTAAAATATGCCTTGCTATACCACTTGCAGTTTTCTGCTTCGATCTCCTGTAGGCTTGTACAAGTCAAAGAAAGAAAGTAAAATCCAATAAGCAAGGAAGTAACTAATAATGTATTATGCAAAAGTATAAAAGAAGTTGTAAGAAAATCCATAAGTAAAAAGTATATAAGAATTATAAAATATCCATTTTCATTATATCCATATCCATTTCCATTATAAAATATCCATATTGGCTTTCCTTCCAATAGATAAGGACAGTCCTTCTTTGCCATATAAGTATTATTTGTTTATTAGAGAAGGGTTATAATTTCAAGGGCTCTAATTTCTTACTATTTTGGGTAGTTAAAATTATTTTGTTCACTTGCAAAAAATAGTGTGACTTTTCCTGCTGCAAGTTGCATTCTCTAGAAAAGAAAACTTGATTGGTGGCCTTTTGCGTACAAGAAAATATTTTCATCCTTTTCCTCCAAGAGATGAAATTGCAAGGTGAAGGAGACACCCGACACTATGAAGAATTAATTACACTCCCTGAGGACATTGTGTCACACCAATAATACTGAATGCATACAATATTGTTAATGGGAAACACCTGATTAAACCTGTGAATGAATTAAGCATTCAAACATATGTAATAAGAATGTCTGCAAAATGGGTATTCAACAGGTAATAAAATACAGATTCAGTAGAAAAGAATTTTCAAAGCTTATGTTATGCATCCTATGCTGTTTTATTGATGGAGATCATGAAAAATGATAGTATCAGAAACTCTTTATGTTGATTAGCTTCAGATTATTGTCTTGAAACTACAGCGTGTTATTCTAAGATATGAAAAAGGGAAATACAGTTTGCTGGTGAATGTTTAACACTGCAAATCTGTAAGAAAATAGACTGTAATCGAAGCCTCATAATTTTTTGTTCTGCAAATTGTAATACTAATGATTGAGAATCTGTTACTGAATAAAAAATAGCTAGAAAGTTGCTTCCAAAAAGGACACAGTCAGCTTCAAATAAAGTCACTTTAAAAAAAGAGCTTCAAATGGTGAATATGCCTCTGATACCCTGTCAGGTTTTGTGAGTTAGTGATCGTATTTTTCTGCTTTAAGCCAAAATTCTCCTTTACTGTCTTATCAACAATCTGTAATAGATAAAAGAAATCTGATTAGGCACGTAATGAAACTGCCTGTAAAGTAAGTGCTGGGAAATTTAGAAAGGTAACAAATTTAAAAGTAAAACACTATTCATTAAACTTTTGCTGTATAATACAAGTATAATTTATATAAAAATATAATTTTTCCAAATGAGAGAGAAAATATCACAGCATATAATAATTATAAATTTGCTTTAAGGATCTGATTAGTACTCACTAATCTAACCTTTTTATGAATCTAGAGCTACTGACCTAAAGTCAATGAATATATACTTCTGGAAAAAGTACTGCAAAATTAGATTATAACCTCAGTGTAATTACCAGCGTATTACTGGGAGAACAGATCTAATTGAAGTGACAGAAGAGTCATTAGTCTTTGAGAACTGTCCTACATAAAGTTCATGATTGCTATAAAAATGAATATATTTAAAATGATTTTTATAAATAAATTATATTCATATCAACATGACACTTGCCATTTTGAGGTCTTTTCTAGATAATTTGTCTCTTAAAATTTTATCACTTTTGTTGCAGTGATCTTTAGATTAATTATTCATCCAATTTCTGGTATTTCTTTTCTTGCCAAATCACAAAAAAATAACTTCTAAAATGTGCTTTATTTGCAGCATCTGGAGAGGACCAAATATAAACTGCACAGACAGTTCAGGTTATACTGCTTTACACCATGCAGCTTTAAATGGACACAAGTAAGTGCCTTATGTTTAGTATTTATGTAGGAGTTTTTTTAACTGCATAACTTAGAAATACTTAATGTAGCACCGAAATTTTCACTGAAGGGCAACAAGCTGAGTCGCTAAAAGATTGACAATAAGCCTGTTTCTCATAGGATATATTTAGTTAAGATTTTTTTGACATTGTCATTGACATCAAGATCCGGTAATTGCAAATGGCAATTATAGCATGCAAATTATTGATTCTATACTGATTCTTCCAAATCCTTGTTTGATTTTGAAAAAATTTCTTATTGTTCTTACTAGTCATGGCTCTAGTGCTCCTTACTGGAGAGAAGCCTTAGCAGAAAATTTTGTAGTAGACTTGACTCTATGTAGTACACATATATAGTGCAATGGATCTTGTGTAAAACAAGAATAATGTAAGTTACTCATTATCAGAATAAATCTAACATGATAAGAATATTTGTTATAAGGTGAAAAACAAAAAATGTCCATTACCTCATAAAACACCATGTAGCTTTTACCTCCTTCCCCTCAGCTCTAGTTACCAAATTTTGCTTGGAAAAATCCCCCGAGGCCTACTGCACAGGTATACCAATGCAGGAGAACCCTTTAAGAAATTTAAGTGTCATTTTAAAAAAATGTGGGAACCTGCTGCGTGTAGTAAGTTATTATATACTATAATTTGTTCTCTGTTGCCTCTTCAATATTCTGCCCCTTGCAATGTTACCTCCATTGCATTATGCAACTGCTAACTGCATGTTGATAATAAGACAGAACAAGAAAAAATAGATTTTTAGGAAGTTATAAACATCTGATGGGCTGGACACCATGGACACCACTATCACCGTGGTAAGAACCTCCTCTGTTCCTGCTATCCAGCTAGCCTGTTTGTAAACTGAGGTTAACACTGTCACGAGTTTCACTGGAGAACACTTTGATATAAGACTTTTCATTATTCCTCTGTGGGAGATAAGGAACTGGTCAAAAACAAAATGAAATTAAGACTAGCTTGTAGGAACTGTAATGTGGTTTCAGACTCTATATAAGATTACATGAGTCCATATTAACTGTATATGTAGTTTCTTTTTTCATATTTTTTAGTCTTGCTAGGAAAAAGACAATACGATGTCTATTTAATTGTGTGCTAAAAACCTGTATGTTGTCTTTAGACCAGTTTCATCTTTTGGTGAATATAGAATAATCTGTTTCCAAATTGAATAAATGTTAAATCCTTTCAAATCAGATAATATACATTTGACAAAATTTCATTTCTGTAGCAAGTTTCAGAATAACCTATTAATATATTTTATCTCTCTGGAATTAGCTGTAAGTCTTTAATAAGATTTGTTAGCCTCTGTCTTTCTCAAAAAGGAAAACATGGAATTTCTCTTTTTATATTTATGGCTTTTTTCTTTTGTTGTTTTATTTTTTGATTGCCAAAAGTCTGAGGTAAGGCTTGCAAAAATGCTCAGTTCTTAGATATACTTAAGATGGTTTTAATACATTTAATAGTGAGTGTAAACCAATTTTAGATTATTATCTCTTACCCATTCAGCAGGCTATGTGGCAGTTCCTGGCACACCAAAATTTATAGATTGCATAGATGAGCTTTGTCCTGTGAAACTTCAGGGGTTTCAAATTTTCCCGTTTCTCATTAGAATGAACTTGAGTGATTCAAAGTTTTGGGGAAAAGAAAAAAAAAGGAGAAGTGAGAACATGGGGCTCGGTGACCTAGCCAGTCATCGGTGGTGTTGTACTCCATTGTTGAAGTCCTTGTTTGATTATTGCCTATGATTAATTCCCTCCTCATTCTAGGGCAGTTTTCTCTCCTATTGAAGCTATTCTACTTTATGTAAGTAATTAAATTATATCTGGGGCAGAGACTTGAATCTTCATCTTCCTTCCCAAGTGAGTTGCCCAGTTACTGGGCTAAGGACTCTCGGTCTTCTGCAGTCTCTAATGTATTTCTACAAAATGAAAAAGTTCTAAAGGAAGACTGAAAAAGACCCACTCCAGAGGATGTGATACGTCAGAACATTCCTGAAGGGTTCTGAAGGAGACCTAGGTTCTGTTTTGGAGATTGATTCCCACAAGCAGTGGGCTAAAATCTTGATTTTCCAAATTCCCAGTGTCCACTGTTCAGTCAACTATTCTGGAGTACATTGTGACATGCTTTTTTACTGGATTTTACTTGAAATCCAATTCCAGATCTGGGAAGGATTTTCTGAAAGAAACTTGTAAAAAATGATGGATTTCTTTGAATCAAATAGATAATATTATCTGTCTGAAGAAAATTCTGAACTAATATTCCTGATAGTTGCTCTATATCATCGCTATCTACAGACGTTAGCTGTGGAGGCTTTTTTTGCTGTTTTTTCCCCACTTAGTTCAGTTTCCTGTGATTTATGTCCCTTTCAAACTACTTTGTAGCTCTTACAAAGAAGATTACAGGATCTACTGCAAGATCGACTGTTAAGACATGACAAACTTTTCAAGTCTTATTGAGCTACAGAGCCTTTTTCAGAAGTCACTTTTTGGAGAATATTTTACATAGCAAAACTTTTTCAGTAGTGAGGCTACTCTTTCTGTCACATTTCTTGAACGTCTTCATGTTATTTAACCATGTCAGGAGTAAGCAAAGTCCAACCTAAAGTCTCCCTCAATGCTTAATGACTTTAATATCTCTGTCTTCTTTTCGAGTTTCTGTTGACCTAGGTATATTCACTCTTCTTTGCAATGGTTCATCTTCAGCAGGCAATAAAATAAGGTTCCATTAAGACTGAGAGAGCAGTTCCTGGTGTCTATGGTGTCTACCCCTTACCTTCAGTTGTCCTCAAGACCTTTGTTTGCAGTCCTGCCGCACTGAAACCCTCTCTCCCTATCCTGGCTTTTTTGGAGCCCAAATCAGTAAATAAAGAGCTAGTGTTCCCATATTCAGCAAAAGCATGCCTAGAACTGCTCAAACTGGATTATAGATACTATTAACTTAGCAACTAATGAGGCCCGACTTTGTCATCCTCTGGTAAGGCAAACTGAGAGATAAGACAAAATTGATGTAATTTCTGACCTCGTTGCTAGTCAACATTTATACCACACAGCTGATTCTTATTTTTAACTTCTTTTGAAGTAAGTACAGGATACTGCTTAAAAATCCGGGATGCAATAAACCAGCTTATACTAATCTTTCATTTTAATGTATGGTAAGCCACACTGAAAATATTAAAAGGAATGTAATATAAATTAAAATGGTAAAGACACTCTTCTCACTCCCAGGAAGATGCTTGTTGGAAACTGGAACAGAAGCAGTATTTCCATAGAAGGTAGTATATATCAAAGTAGTTTGTCATTAAATTGCTTCTTCTGAAGGAATAAAATGAGACAATACCATAAAGGAGAATGAAAATTGGTACTTTTAAGCTTTACTTCAAGAACTGTGTCCATGAACCCTTTTATCTTCCAGCCTCCTGAGCTCAGAAAGTGTGAGGATAGAGTATTTCTACCTCTAGTCCCTGCAATGTAGGTCTTGAGGGATGTGTATGCTCCCTTTCACTGACAAATACATTTCTACAATCAGGTCGTGCTGTTGAAAGGAACAGATTCCGAGAATGGATGACAATATTGTTGAAGAGTTTTCTTCAGCAAAAGTTGGCTACATTTGGGCTACATTTTAATATTTATTTTGTTTTTAGAAATGATTGCTGTTAATTTTTATAGCCGTTTCAATTGAATTTCAGATGTTTCTCTTTTATTGAGAAAAAAAAGGATAATATATATCCTTGTTCATTTATTTGTACAACCATAAAATAACTTCTTGCCAATTTTTAGTTTTGCTTCCTGTTTTCCAGGGATATAGTTCTCAAATTACTTCAGTATGAAGCATCAACTAATGTGGCAGATAATAAAGGTTATTTTCCTATTCACTTGGCTGCGTGGAGAGGAGATGTGGACATTGTGAAGATTCTTATCCATCATGGTCCATCACACTCCAGAGTGAATGAACAGGTGAAACAATTAAAATTATTTGTTTACATCATCAGAAAAGAGCAGCACATATTCTTTAGGTCTGGCAAATTTATAACCAAATTGAAAATTTTTCCATGATTCTAGTAATTTTTTCTTCAAGACTTAGAAAATCTTCCATGGTAAACATACAAGATAAATTTATTGTGGAAGAGCACTGACCTAAAGGATATTATGTTGAAGGAGTATCAGGAAAATTATGTTTGTTTCAAAAAAATCATACTAAGGAATATCCTAGCTAATGCATTATGAATATTAATATAAATTTACATAAACTTTTTACTTTATTTGATGTCAATTTATTTTATTTTTTTTGTGCTAAAATTGATATTTTTGGTATATTTTGAGTGTACCATAAATGAATAGCTGTGCAGACATGAATGTCCAAGTTACATGGACTGTGTGTGTGCATATAGGTGTATATATACATGTCTGACAGGACGATCCAAAATGAAGTAGATGAATCTGTCTAGCACAAACAACAAAAAGGTCATATAAATACTAGCAAAAAATTCTGACAATATTAGAGTGGGTAAGAGTAGGAGGGTGTCACATTCTGTTATAAAACATAAGACACTCCTTCTGTTTTCTTTCTGTATATTTATGTTCTCCATATATATGTGTGCAATATAGGTCTGTTTTTGGAGTTAGTAATTAGAAACAGAGGAAGCAAGCAGTTATAAACTGAAGCCATCTGTCCTGAGCTGGTTCTTTATCAATTACCACAACAAACTAGAGAAAATTTTGTTGCAGAAAGTGATTCCTACTGTGTGAAACAGGATCCTGAATCTAGCTCTTGATGCTAAGAAGGAACTGGCAGTAGACTGTGAAATGTAAGAGTAGTAACCACAAGCCGTTGAACTTGCCCGGGTAATCAGAAAGCCATCGGAATGCAAAGGTGGGAATCATTCCAGATTCAGAGCTGAATTTTAGTGTCTTCACTGCTTGAATGTGCATCATTATGTCACACAGATCTAGTCAGGGTAGTTACAGGAGCCAGAAAGGTTGTTCCGCAGTTCCTTTTTGGGTCAGAGGGTGTCACAGAGGATGTTTGTACCTTCCCTGTCTTTTTGCAGGGGCCACTGGACTCCAGGTAGGATGCCCTAGAGCATCTCAAATGGTAAATTGCACTTCTGTTTAGAGGGCTAGTTGCACTGTCAGTGTCTACGTTGGTGTGGCTGGAGGGCAAACCGTAGAATAAGCAATGATACACCTAAATAGCGATCTCTAACCACTGTGAGAAGCCTTCCCCTGAATACTTGATACTTGAAGTTACACACTTAGCTGTTGCAATCAATATGATAACTATAATCCGAGAATTGAGTAATATTAGTGCAGGAAGTGTAGAAAAATCAGGAAATAAAATCTCCCCCAAGTGATAGAATTCTGGGAAATCATGTAATACCCTGGCTTATCCAAGAAAAAATACAAGAAATAGAACTTGCTATTCTGTGGTTTGATTTGTAGGTTATGAGTTTCTTTGAGTTTCTCATTCTCCTCACCTGTTGTGTGTAGGATAATACTAGTTGATTTACAAGATGATCTTTTTGTCAAAGGAAAACCTTTTGAAAAAAAAGTAAATCCAAACCTACTTCTTCCCAGTCTAATGAATAACTCAGAATTTCTAGAATATTCTCTAGCTTCATTAGGTATGATGACCAGTCTCTGTGGTTCTGTCACTGGAACAAATAAGCAGAAATGAGCCTGATTTTACAATCCGCTGCCTGAAAGAAGGCGGCTCTGGATTCTTGTCTTCAGATCCACTGCTATTTATGCATATCCAAACACTCCATAATACAAAATGTATGAGCAATTCTCACAACGGATACTGGTCCCGAAGTCTTTCGGAAGGCAGCGGAAGTCATGCCGAACCGTTGAGTTAAATTCATGCCTGCACAGTTTTTATCTGTAAATCCCCCTGTTGTTCCTAGATAATGACCAGCTTTAGCACATGGACCACTTGGTACCTTCTCTTTCCCCTCTGCATAACAGTCTACCTGGAGACAGTTATCCAGATCATGGGATGAGGGAAATGCCACATTGACATAAAGCTGCCTACCCCCACATATCCTCAAGTAACATCAGAGTGACATGCCACCCTAATACTGTGTATTTTTGTGAATCTGTAGGTTTCCCTGAAGAGCGATATAGCAGCATGGCATTTGCTTATTTGCTGTAGGGCCTAGAAGAGGTGGGTGGTTCCAAAGAGCTCTAGAGCAGAAGCTACAGAAAACCTTGGACTGCCTTTTTTTTTGTGAGTGCTGGGGAGTATAGCCGCTATACTATAGCCACTGTGTGTTTCCTGCCACTTACTTACCACAGAAAATTATCCTCTGAAATCAGCCTTTTTTTTTTTTTTTTTTACAAGGTTCACGGTAATAATACCTGCACACTAATTTTGTTCATTATTTAAAGCTGTTACAACTAGTTTGTAATATATCCTTGCTTTTCATGTATTTTATTGAAATTATATTTCATGTAAATACTTCAATAAACTTAAGTAAAAGGAACTAATGTTAAAACAACATAACAAAGAAGTAAATGGGAAGCTCATGCATAAATGTATTTCATGAGAATTAAGGTATTTAATGTAGTGGACTGTAAATTAATTAAACTTTATTCTATGTATTTAAAATGCAATCAAGTAACATCATCGGATAATAACTAGCATCTTAAGCTCTGAATGCCCCCTACTGTTCCTATTACATAAAATTGAAAAAACAGTAAATAGGCCAACAGTTAAATGACAATTACTTTTTGTGGATGGTAAAATGAAAACAAGCAACTCTACATACAGAAAATGGCTACAGTGTGACAAAAGTGTAAGAATAATTATATAATTGTTTAATAGAGGTGTTTTAGTTGACATGCAGGATGTATATTCAAAATTACAAAATGTGGTGAAATTGCAAAATGTGTTCAAACTCCACTGATGAAGATGATAGAAATGTATAAATGATAAAACGTATGAAGACGAAGTACATGTTAAGAGATCAAGTTTTATCAGTAAATAAGTACAAAATATAATGAAAGTGTACGCTCTAAAACTCAAGCTGCTTACGTTATTTGTTTATGTAACAAGATCCAGGTAGTGCAAACATTTACTATGGCAACTCCCATTATAAAATTACATCAGTGATCCTAATATACACAAAGGTAAAAGTTAATACACAGTAAGTAAGAATCACAGATAACTCAATACATACTGTTCACCAGAAATAAATATCAAGTTCAAAATATAGTTTTACTAGATATTGAAGAAATATGAATAGCAAAAAAAAAAAAAAGGAAAACTTGTGAAAACTCCCAAAATTTCTCAATGCTATTCCTCTTTGTTTTGTGACTTTTTCTTTCCTCAAATAGCCCATATTTTTCCTTACATTTATGTATTTAATGTACTGTATATTTTTTTCTTTGAATCAAATCATAAATACCATAAAAAAGAATCCACCTTTTTTTCATTTCGCTGATGGCTTTCGACATTTCTTATGAAATGTGAGGGAAAGGAGTTCTGGATTCATTTATAATATGCAAACACCCAACACCTAACATATTTACTGACTTTACCGAATCATCAGAATGAAACAAGGCAATATATGCTTCTCTTAATACACTTCAATGACTTCAGTGACAGAAGTACTAATTCACAGAATCACCCAATCACAGAATGGTTGAGGTTGGAAGGGAACTCTTAGAGACCATCTAGTCCAACCCCCTGCTCCAGCAGGGACACCCAGAGCATGTGGCACAGGGTGGCATCCAGGTGGGTTTGGAAGATCTCCAGAGAAGGAGACTCCACAACCTCTCTGGGCAGCCTGTTCCAATTCCAAAGTAGTTTGCAAAACCGATCATTTTCGTTTGATAACATTTTCTCTACTTCAGATCAGAGAACATGAGAATGAATTTCAGAATTTCTGATACAACTCTTCCATTTTGAATAGCATTGTCAGAAAAGAATGTAATAGCATTCTGATTTCAATAATAAGTGGAAGAAATGATACATTCAAAGTGACAAAAATTACAGATTTACCTTTCAAATCATTTTTGCATATAAGTAAAGGTAAATTTCAATAGAAATTCAATAAATTCATCTGATTAACAGTAGTTAGCTTGTGACAGAATTTAGTCTAATAACTTTTACAAAAATTATCTTTTTTTTTAAGAAATCTCACTGTAAAATACACAAAGAAAAAAAAAAAACAAAGAGCTAAGTATACCGTAAAGAATTTCAGTATGAATTTATTGTTGCTAAAGAAGAGAAACATGGAGAAACGCAGTAATGCTACAGGGATGGAGAAATCCAATTAAGTTATCCGTGAGCATTTTACCTCTTACAACTGATATTTCTAGTTTAAGCAAAATATTTGCATTTTTATTACTTTGCTCTTGCAAATACATGTGAACTACTTCTATTCCTCAAAATAGTTTGCCTAAGTTATTAAAACAATGGGCTTGACTGATCCCTTGACGTGCTTTTATTGGCAATTGTCTGTGTGTTTAACTTTTTATGTTCATTTCTGGTTCTGCCCAAAGCCAGATTTTACATAATGTCAGCATTTGTGCTGTAGTAGACAGCCCTAGAAGCCACATTCAGAATCTCATTTAATTCTGCTGAAAATAAGATTTTCTGTGCCTAAATGGCCTTTTGTGTTTGGATGTCACCATTAGAAATAATATCTTGTGTAGGAAACATTATTTATGCAAGTGCAATTCCTTTTAGAGTTTGCAATTAAACCCATTCTCATTTCTCTATTAAAAAACATCAATATACTTAGACTTTTAGCAAATCAGCTTTAGACAGGGACAGAATCTTCTTTTGCAAAAGAACAAGACCTTGTCAGACAGAATTTCAAGCAGGAACGATCACTCAAAGAATGGCAACAAAAATGGGAGAAAATTCACTCAAAGAAAAACACATAGAACTTCTTTTAAGCAACTCATAGCAGTGAACTCTGTAGTTCCTAAAATTTTAAATGTAAGCTTGGAATAATTTTTTAGCCTTATACAATTACAGTTGGAGCAGAGGGAAAGATTTGCTAATCTCTCCACTACAGAATAGACCTTCAGATATGATAGAGAATTTCTGGTTGCATGTGGTTTAGTAGCTAAATAGTGCTGTACAGCCTGCAGTATTGACCACATATATTTCTGTTAAGGCATACTTCAGTTTTGCAGCAATAGAAGTCTGAGTTTTGAAAGGACGTGGAAGAGAATGTAATTAGAGAAATGCATGAATCTATTATATCCATCTGCTAGGCATTCCCTCCTTTCCTAGATTTGAAGATGGCAGACTCTTGTAAGACCTACTCAAGAACTCTATCCTCTCTCCTCAGGAAAAAAAGACTTGTTTACAAGACAAGTTATGGTATGTAGGCACAGCTAGATTGTCAAAGCATGTAAGTTACAATTTTAGAGGGCATTTAATGTAATTCTCTCTTGAAAATTAAAAAATATTCTGCCTTTTGTTCATGAATGCAGTCTGTTCCTTTATATTTTAAGGAGAGGTGGATGTTATATCATTGAGTTTTAATTAGGAAATACTGCTCAGCCCTGATAAAATATGTAATGGTTGTTCTGGCTGCATATGCATAGGTAATTTAATTATTGTATTTGTCTATGTTGGATTCTTCTATTTTACTTAGCAATAGCAAATTCTTGCTAATTTCAAATTAGTTTGTTATTCAAAACTTGAAATGTAGTTTTACTATGGCAAATGCAAAGAAATAAACCATACAAAAATGTGCAACAATATTCATTTGAAAATAATAACACTTTGTTCAGATGATAGATGCACTTTTGCTCAGCAGTGTCTTAAAACACACCACGCTGTAAATATACTCCTGCAAGAAAGTTCATCTGGATATTTTTTATTTAGATGGAGTAAATTTCAGTTCACTACAACAGGGATTTGAACTGGTTAGTTTCTATCTATGCGTTTCTCCAGTTGAAATGTTGGAGTATTTTCAGAAGGTGGTTATAGGCAAGTTAAACTTCATTTTTCTTAGAAAATTTAATCAGATTATTTTTATAACAGTGCAGTGGAATGAGATTCAAGATGCTTTTTGTATTATCCATAAATGTTTGAAGAAAATTCAAATGTAAGCATATATTTGGTTGATAGATTTATCTGTTTGATAATTATCTGTTAAATGTGCATTTTGCTATTTACCTCTCTGAGTGTAGATATAGTTATACATCCAATTTCTTCGTGGAACTACTTCCATTGCATATGCAAATACAGTAACTGTAAGCACAAATTACCATAATTGGCCATTTTATGTGCAATTATCTGATTTTCATACATAATTGTGGTAATTGTACATGGAATTATCCTGCAATTGACTATTCATTTCTGTGCAGCTCTGTCCATGAAATATTGAAAATTTGTGCTTTTGTAAAGAAACTCCCATAAAACTACACAAATAAATTCTAATAAAATGTGCCCATGATTTGGAGTATACGATAGTGCACAAAATACTGTCTTGTATAAGTCACACCAGAAGTCACTAGAGCAAAGAAAACATATCACAGGTAGAAAAACATGACAGATAGATCATTGATGCAGACATACTATTGTGATGGTTCATATTTTTTGATGAATTTATTTCTTCCTCTCTGCCTGAAGTTATTGTGTGTTTAGAATTGTAGGTATCCAGACAAAAACCATTAAAGAAGATACGGCTTATTCATAATATTTACTGCTTGAGTGTGGTGGATACATTCAACCCACAGAAATATAGTATGATTATTATACATTTTGGAGGACATAGGAATATACAAACAACCTTGTAGGGTGTTGTTGGGGGGGAAGGGGCTGTAAGGCAATAACACCTACAACCTCCAGCATACAAATATTGGTCTGCCTTATAATGCACTTAGCATCTTCCTGGAGCTCTGGGAATGCTACCTGCTTATGTGCTAGACAGGGTTTTTCTAATATCTGCCATCTAATTTTGCTTGATCCTAAGATATGATGGTTATCTTGATACTTTTATAGTGATAGAAGAAACTAGCCTAATGTTTGATACATTTTCATTTTACAGTTCTATGAATAAACCATTATGTTCTAAAAACAACTGTACTGGCAAGAGGAATTTAAATGTTTGGTATTTCTAAGTGAAGGACCGTGAACTATGATTTCAGGAACAGTTTAATCAAGAAAGAGGTTACAGGCTTTGGCATATTATAAATGGCAACAACTTTTTTTGGTATATGTTGTAAAAAATGGATTGAGAACAATATTAACACACAGGGAGCTGATCTGCTTGATGGCCACAAAGTTGCGATATTACGGCATTATTAATAAAATAATAGTGGAATCATTCTGAAACATATATTAAATTCCATACCCTAGGTCTGCAGTAATCTCAGGAAGGCGATTTGGAAGCAGAGCAGTTCTGCTGTGTGATTAAACACAAAATTTTGTTTTGTTTTAACAGAACAACGAAAACGAAACAGCGTTGCATTGTGCAGCTCAGTATGGTCATTCCGAAGTAGTTGCTGTCCTGTTAGAAGAGCTAACGGATCCTACAATAAGGAACAACAAACTAGAAACACCTCTGGATCTGGCAGCACTTTATGGGCGTCTGCGGGTTGTAAAAATGATCATCAAAGCGTATCCAAACCTGATGAACTGCAATACAAGGAAACACACACCTTTGCATCTCGCTGCGCGGAATGGCCACAAAGCTGTTGTGCAGGTGCTGCTGGAGGCTGGGATGGATGTCAGCTGCCAAGTTAGTGTGAAATTCTCCCTTCTTCTTCCCTTCCTTTCTTTCCTTTTTCATTAGAATATCTTTTAAATGAATCAACTTATATTTTTCTTTTACAATACATTTACAATGACTTTGCTAGAAACGCTGCAAATGTCTAAACTAGACATTTTTTCACAATCTAAGTAATGGGCTCATCCAGTGGATATTATATTTCAGGAAAGATCCAGGACTTTAAAGTCAAGCATATATTTTAATGCTTCCTTGAGACATACAGATGCAGATAATCATATCAAAAATCCATATGTATATAATGCTGTTGACTTTAATGAAGCAAAGCTGACTGGCTAAAACTGTGGCCCTTGTTTAACTGGGCATGGAAATCTGAAACAGTGTTTAACTGACATCTCATTTCCCCAGCATTATCCCTATCTAGAGGTAGAGTTATAGCTGCTAATACTTTTTATTTTTTCTGCTTTTTTAATGCTTGTTGTATAAGTCTAAAAAAAAATTCTATAGGAATGCACTTTTTCAGCTACTGATTCCAACCATTTCCTGCATATGATGCTGGGCACAATAAGTTACCATGGGGTAGGCAAGGTTAACTTTAGATAAGAGACATAGCATAGATCTATATGGTAACAGAGACAAGTTACATTAGCAGTAAAATTTTTATTTACTTCTTTGTCGAATAAATTATCCAAACCTTTAGTTAAAAAGGAAGAATGAACTAATTCTGTTATGTGTGTAGTCTTCTCTCCTACTTCTAATTTCTCTTTGTTTGATTGCTGGCACTGAATTTTAGGTTAAAATGTATTTTTATCTTCAGATTTAAAGCAGCTTTCTTGCTGCCTGAGCATAAATAATATTCTTTAAATTAAGGTGGTTTCTGCATAATGAGTACAATATGCATTTTCAAAAATACAGGAAAAACATAGTCATGTTTATTGTAGAGTCACATCCAGGCAATCTCTATCAATAGGTATTGTAATAAATCTGGTGACCTTTGCCTAAACCTTGACTAAGATTTCCAACTATCCTAAGCTTTAGGTGTATTTTAATCAAATACCTTGGCACACTAATTCCTTTTCATATGTAATAATTACTCCTGTATTTCTTGCACTTTACTACTGCAAAAGAATGCAAAGTGAGAAAGGACAGATTAAAAAAATAAAAAAGAAAAACAGGGAAAATATGAACAATGCATTGCAAGATTAAAAATGGATATTGAATTCCTTTAATGCCTTCAAAATGAAGTTTTGTTAAAAATTATCTTGTTACTTCTATTAGGTCTGTATCTTCTAAGTTAGCCTTGTTATTTGCTTCAAGCTATTCCAAACCGAAACACTTTTTTAATGTGCTTTGCCTACTTTTGTATCTGCCTACTATTGTGCTTTCATCTACAGCTACAAGAATTCGGTTTCAATGTTTTTTTTTGGTAGCCAGTGAGATGCTTGCAAAGGTTAATGCAAACCGCTTTCTGTTTCAGAAACTGTTTTTTACTGTTATTGCATGTTCAGTAAGTTAGAGAAGTTTCATTCTAAAGCAACAAATAACAGATGCTTCCAATGTATGTTGAAAAGATGTGAGTGATTTTCTTAGTAATTGTGGTGTTTGCCTTCCACACTAAAATCCTAGGACTGTTTTTCCTTTTTGTCCTTCTGAATTGTTATAAGTCATTCATATTCTTACTTTTTCTCAGTTTTAGGCAGGGGTTATATATTTTGTACTAGGTCATATTTTTCAGTTTGCCCTACTTGCCATAAGGAAATAAAATTTATTTCTTCAGTGATATCCATTTTCTCCATCAATATGTTCCTTTCATTCTGCATCTTAACCTGCTGCCAAGCTGGCTCTGTACATATTGTTAACATGCTACACTTCTATAACCTCTCAAATTTTATTTGTAGATGATTGCTGTCAGCTCATTAAACTGAACAGAGCATACAATAGCAGCCTGTTACTTAAAAATGAACTCAGCTGTTTTAATATTCATTAAATTGATCTGCATCACTGATTGGAAAAGAACAAGATACAAAATACAATCCCATGCGGTAAATTAAATAGCACACATTCATACACATTAAATAAACTCAGTTTATCAGCAATATAGAACTCTCAGAATGTAGAAGGACAATTTATAGGAGCAGCCTATCTGCTATCATTCTCTGTAATTGTAAATATTTATTTGTTTATATGCAGAGTTTACTTCAGATGTGTTATTTTTCTCTTCTGTACTCTCTAAACATTTTAAACATAGCAAATATTTGGACTAGTAATAGACATAGCATCTAATTTTTGATTGAATTAATCACACATTTTATTCATTTCCCAGCTCTATCCAATATTCTTCAATCTGAAATTATTTAGAAGCAGGCAATACAAATCTGCTTCATCTCTTTATGCTTTGAAGTGTTCATTTTAATTGAAACATATGGAAAAACACAGGTTTTGGTGAGTGGGCCCTTAGTATAAAATAAGATATTGCACAGTTTGGTGTGGGTCATATGAGCAGTAATTTTGCAATTATAAAACTCGGCACAGTTTAGCTCCTTTGCCTATCCAACTCCATTTGCTTTCCTGGTCTGTTCCACTATGATGACAAATACCATTGCTGGCCACCATAGTTCCTGCGGTAGGAGCTATGCCCCTTCCTTCTGGCTGTCACAATGTGTGGAGGAGATTCTATAAATGAATCTCCAAAGTTACCATCCTGTCCTTCAGATCATCTTTGAAACTAAACCTATGGTTAGCTGCCTATTAATAAGGATGAGACAGGTGACCTCATCACAAGTTTTTTCATATTTACATAATAACAAAAAAACCTTCTAATTAGTAGAACCCTTAATATTGTACATGAGCCTGCAAATCATACACTTAGTTGATTTGTGTAGCCTGCTGTTCTTACTGACAATGATCTTCTCCCCTTGCTTTTTTGTGTGACACTGTGGTTGTATTTAGCTGTGAGCAGATTATCTCACTGTGTTCATGAGAAAACTTTGGCATTTTTTGCATTAAATGTCATTGTGGAAGAATTTCTAGATGCAATAGCAGTGTTTACTTTGCCAGAAAAATATGATCCCAAGCAGTGGGAAGTAAAACTGAGAATACTGTCTATAAATCCTAAATTTGATTACTGTAGTAAAGACAACAGAAAAAAATATTAGCACATCTGTACATTATACATTAAAATATTTACAGTTAAAAATTCTAGCACATTTTAAAATGACATAGAATATAGAAACTACATTTTTACATAGTTTGCAACTACATTTTTAATACTCCAAATTTATGTAGCATGCTGTACTTCACCCTCCTATGATTTCTGTCTAAGTAATAGTCCACATGGATGTTTAAAAGGGGATATGCGTCTACTCTTGCCAGTCCTTCCAATATCTATTCAACCTGTTCATCCTGAGGCTGAGTGTTTTCCCTATGTTAAAATGGAGTATGGTAACTAGATTTTCTGATAGCAAGGAAATTTTTGTCTTCTGGACATGTTTTTAGGGATCAAGAAGAACTGATTCAATCATTAGATGTTCACTATTACCGTAAAATCCTACTTAACTTTTAAGATTTATGGTAGCATTTATCTTTGTGACATCTCGTGCAGAATTGCATGTCTCCATTTTACTAAGCTTTCAAATTGATTATTCAGTATTTCCAGACTGATTTTCTTTCATTTTTCTAGTAATATTTCCTTAGTTAGACAATAACCTATATAGTGAACAGGTCGATCCATAGATTGACTTTATCTGTATATATTGTCTTTCAAATCTAAACCTTCTTTCTGGGATATGGCATTTTTCGAGATTGTCTGATAGCTTGGAGTTGTAAAGGACTGTCCATGGAATAGCAATATCAGTATAAGGGTTTGCTGCCAGTTCTGACAATTCTGCTATCAGGACTACTTTTTCCACTATTGGCTGAGATGTCCAATGATCCTCTTCCTTCTTCTCAAAGTTGTTGATACGGCATGCTAGAGCACTAATCCTCTTCAGGCCACTCCACAGCAATGAACTTTAGATAGGTCTTGTCACTAAACTATATCTCATTTTTGCCAATAAAAACGTCCCTTCTTAGTGTTTATACACGAAGATCTATAAAGCTTCAGTGAAGGCACATCTGGCACCCATCTTTGCAGCCGTCTATGCAAAATCAGGTTCACAGATATCTAAGCCAGGATTGAAATGATCTAAACATAGACATGTAATGCTGCTGGAGATGCCTTAGGGCATCTACATGGGGCAGATACAATGCAGATGAAATGGAACATCAACTGGAACATCAGCTGGAGGCCAGGTGGGATAGCCCAGGGCGTCTCTCACTGTGCAACTGAATTGAACCCCAAGGGCATGATCCGATTTTAGTTTGAAACATCTAAATGTAGATATCTCTGTGGAGATATCTACATTGCTGTATGTGCTGAACAACTCTGTTGTTTCACTGTCTGTATTTGATTCAATCTTTGCTGACTCTTAGGAGGCTGGAAATCTTACTCAAGTGCAGGTACCTTAATCAGGAGCTGTATTACACCCTACCCTGCCATATTTTCTTCTAGAGTTATTAATTTTTATGGTAGGACTGACAGCATTTATGTTGCTATCCTAGATAAAGGAATTATTTTTGGGTGGTATTTGGTTGTTGCCCATTCAGTGTTTCTAATGTCGCCAAAATATAGTGAAAAAAGTGCTCCTTTTCTAAATGTATTATTTTCAAAAGTATTATTCGGCATTTTACATTTGCATTTTAAATGTCACAACTTTTTTGTTTCCTAGACAGAAAAAGGAAGTGCACTGCATGAAGCAGCCCTATTTGGGAAGGTGGAGGTAGTACGCATTTTGCTTGAAACAGGTAAATCTAACTTCCAGGAAACACCGAACAAATATTCCTACTATTGCTGATCTGATGATTGCCTTCTCAAGTTTTGGTCATATAAATTACTATTATCTTTTTAAGCTTTTGCAAATCTAATCACATGTACCACTGCTTAAAATAGTGTTCCTCTAGAATAGGAAATTACCATACACAAAGAGAGCAAAAAGAACATTTTCATTTATGACTGAGAAATTCCATATATGACTCAGTGTATGGCAAGCTCAATACAAATTTGAAGAAAAAATGGCTGCATAAAATTTTGTTATTCACACTGAAAGACAGCCAAGAATATTTGGGTTCAGCATAGCAAAAAAAGACATTAGTAATTTTTAGCAATTCTCCCATATATTAAAGAGAATTTCAAAACTACTGGGCCTTTTATTAAGCAAGATTTGTGGAATTTAATTTCTTAAGGCAGAAGGAATGGCAAAACTGAGGCAGAAGTTTACTTCTTTGTTCAAGAGGACTTATCTTCACATTTACATCCTTCATCTATTCCTAACAATCATACCATCTTGCTTTCTCCTTCATTTCCTGGACAAATTTAGAGTGACTGTGAAGTCAGAGGAAGGCACCAGATCTCTGAGAGTTGTATTTTTTTAAACAGGGAAAAGAACAGGGATACAGAATCTATCTGCAAATGAGAGTTGCATATATTTTGCAAGTAAATTATTTAAAAAAAAATGTTTTAGATAAAGGAGAAAAATCAATGAAGATATCCAGAAATAACCTCTTTGAGATATGCTTCTGTTTTAGTGGGACTTCTCACTGATCTTCATTATCATTACCTGTGGGTTGGTGCAGTGCAAAAGAATGTCCCACTCACAGCTCCTCACCCCAGTCAGATTGAGCTAGTGCCTACCTGGTCTGAGATCTATGTTCGGAAAAGAAAGTTGTTCCAAGGTGCTTTCCTGTTGAAGCAGAAAGGGATCTTCACATGCACTCAGAAAGGCAGAGCCCTTTTATACTAATCTGCCTAAAAGAAGAAGGAACAGAGGACATCACAGAGAGCTAGGAAGTGCTTAGACCACAGATGACTAGGACTTCTCACAGACTAGTAGCCCCTGACAGACCACAATTGTGCTAGGCTGCAGAGCAAAGCCTTCACCATGAAAACCTTCAACCCCAAACTCTTTGCAACATTCCCCATGTGCTCTCTCTCTTCATCTGTCAATCCTTATTTCTCTTAACTGCTTCAGAAAAGACTCATGTTAGGAACAGCTATTGGAAAGGAAATAAAGACGTGAGTTGGTGTCTCTGGCTTCTGAAATTAGGCTGCCATGGTACTGCCATGGCACAGGCAGTTTTTTGGCTTTATTTTCAGTGAGAAAACAAGTACCTTTTTCCCACAAAACATACTAGGAAACTCTTGATCATGCTAGGCATGATCTAGAGAACTGCAAGCCATTTCTGGTGAGCAGAGAAATGCTTCCATACTTCCAGAGTGTCTTAAGTCCTGCTTCCCTAACTTCCTCTATTCAGTTTCCTCAGGAAAATCTCAGCTTTGTTTATTAGGATCATTCATGCCCTTCATTCTAATTCTATAAGGCCAACTTCCCAAAGCAGCCCCTGCTATGTAAGAGTAGAGAATTGAGCAGGATCATGTGCAACACGTGTTCTTTGAGACCTACCCAGGATAAGACTTCCAATTGCATATGTATATTTACATTCACAGTTTGAATGTAACAGCCTAAAAAGTCTGTGTGGAAGCCCCCTAGCAGTTCACATAGCCCTTTCATTACATATGGGTATTTTGGTCTCTCTGAAGAATGAATTTGGAACATGTCACCATGAAATACAAAAAAACATAGTAAGCTTTTCAGTATTGCTTCCAACGCACATACTGGTACTGCAAACTGGATGTGATAAATCCCAAATTCATGTTTGGGATGAATTAGAATCTAGGCATGTAAAAGAAACATTCAGATTAGATAAATTCCAGAGTTCACAAAACATTCATTTTAGATAGAATCTTTCTTAGGAACCGTCTGTTAAAATAATAGAAAATCTTGTTCAGGAAGGTTATTTTATATTTTCTTGAGTTATGCTAACATATAAATAATCCATGTCAAGGTATGAATTTTAGGCAGCCCAAGTGTTGAATAGAAATGGATATTGGATTTCAACTATAGCACAACTGTATAACTGCTTGCATTCAAATTACCGGATAAGGAAGTCTGGTATACCACATTAATAATCAAAAAGATTTGTGGTTAAAGATTTCACCACAGATCATTTTCTGTTTCAGGAATTGATACCAACATAAAGGACAGTTTGGGTAGAACAGTTCTAGATATTCTTAAAGAACATCCATCTCAGCAGTCACTCCAAATTGCTGCTCTGCTTCAAGGTAAGTTATATTCAATCTTACATTTATTAGAGACAAATCGAAATAGTATTGCAGAAAATATATACAGTAGTTAATACTACCATATATTGTAGTTTCTACTCTTATAATGTTCATTATTCAAAATGGAAGTGTGTTGACCAAAAGGGCCTAATTCTCCTAGATAGACAAAATTGACTGGTCGAGTCTGCATTTCAGAGGTAACCCGTTTATTTTTCTGACAATAGACATTAATATGGTGTGTTACTTATAACTGCTCTTTGTACTTTGTTCATTATAAAATAACAGGTTGCAATATCTATTGCAGTTCCATTCAGTTATGATGGTAAAGTGCAATTGGAATATTTCATCAGTTCATAAATAACTATGAGTGCAAGATGATGAAAAAAAATCAAATATACTTCATTGTATTTTTCTCATTTTCCTTAAATTTCAAAAAATAGGCAATAATTGTAGTCAATACATATGTTAGTGTTTCATTTCTCATACTAGTTTCATGGTGCAAGACTGGTGAAACTCCATAATTTACTTCAATTTTATACTCTAGAAGATGGTGGTAAAGTGGAGAAACATGAGCTAGTCCATAATTCATCGTTATACATCACTCCTTCTCTTGTATGCAATTTGTTATTTTGTGATTTTCATGTTAGTCTTTCCTTAGCTGTGATTTATGGAGTTCATTGAAGATATCATTGCTGCATTTCCACCTGCATTGATATCTCTGTAGTCTCAACCCCATTGATCAACAAAGTTTCTTTTCAACCTTTTAAGTGTTACTTTCATGGGTCAGTATCTGCCCTTATTTTTAACCACACACACAATATCAAGGCTTTGGGGGGCTTTGACATGCAGTCTTTTTAATCACAGTGTGATTAAAGTATCAAAGCATAAAGAAGGTTGCTCAGTAGCTTCAGCCCATATTAGAGTGAGAAAATTGTGCCTGCGATAGGCAGTTGATTATTTTTGCGTTATTATTTACATTATAGTCAGAAATGATCTGTAAGGATGAAAAATATTTACCAAGATGCCACTTTGAGCCTTGAGCAAACATGAGAAGCTCCTTCAGAACTTCTATGTGGAACCCATTTCAGATGCTTCTACGTCAGCAAAGAGTTCACTGAAGCTTTAGCTGTCAAAGATTCAATTGTGAGCTAAAATTAAGAAATAAAAGCATGAGTGGCAGAATTCACTACTAACATTACAGATGACACCCTTCGTTTAAAAGCCAGATTAGTGTATTCCCCTGTGAAGCATAAGCATTTATCTGGTTGTAGCTGAAAGATCAGCAAACCATTGGGATTTGGGGAAACTCAAATGTACTCTAGTTGAGTTCTACTTCACTGGGTAATGATTTCCAGGAGGAGAAGGGACAGTGGCTGAGAAATATTTAATGGCATGCAAATACACCCTGTTAATGCTCCTGTCTCCACTTCCTCTCTAAAAAGGCTTGCAGATCGCGTTGTTCATGCAGATTTCCAGGAGAACAAAATGAAATGAATGGTGTCAGTCAATCATTTGCCAGGTTTTGCAAGAATTTCTTCCTATTTTTTTTCTGCAGACACAATGGAATTGAGTTGATTCTTTCACCTTGCTGCCACTGTAAGATTTTGTTGCCTAGCACTCTTATTAAATATTACCATCTCCCCCTCACTTATTAACCTTAACTAGGTCCCAAAGTATCACGGTATGGCATGTACTACTAATACAAAACAAAGGAGCAAAGTATTTTGCCCAGCCCCATACCTTTGGCTTTCTAAATATGAAACAAAAGCTGAAAGATGCATATAAACAGATTGGTAGCAACAAACAAGGAAATAATGTGACCAGTGTTACTGCTTTTTATGATAAGTCATACTGTCTCCTGTAAGTAGAGGGGTAAGAGAGTTGTAGGGAGAGGTCTGAGGGAGAATAATGAGTTGGTTTTGAGGATATTTATGAGGAACTTCTTTGAAGGAAAAGAAGTTACTTGAAATAAGAAACTTATTTACTTCTTTGGAGTCAGTTCATGGAAGAGTAAAATCAAAGCTGTCCAGCTAATTCTAAAACTTACAGGGCTGTCAGTCTTGGGTGAAAAAAGGACAGCTCTGTTATCATCAATGGAGATAATGGAAGTCTCTATTATCTTCAGTAATGTAATGGGTATCCTGCAAGACTTGGACAATTTGAGAACCTTGGACTGAAGTTTCTCTTCATGTTCTGCTTTTATTTAAGAATATTTACAAAACTACTTCTGACAGATTATAGGTTAAAAATAAATGGATTTTTTTTTGCCAGTGAGATTTAGGAAGGGATCCTGGTGTTTCAGTGATCTTGACATCATTTTCCATCATCCCGAGAAAACAACTGAAGTTCCTACAATAACATTTTTGTGTGTGCTTGAAGAGTCTGCCAGCTCTTTGGAGAAGTTGAGCCATTCTCTGCTAGAAGAAAAGAAAAAAAAGGGTTGAGATCTCTTTGAAGAGGCATTTGAAAAAGGCTGAGTAAACTACATCATCAGCGTTTTTTTACTGTCTGTTAAGTCTAGACAGGATTATTAAAAACGGCAGTTCAAGTTCTAATTCTTTGTCTTCCCTTTATTTCTCATCATCTTCTTTGTCTTGTTCAGGTCTGAGTGGTATTGAGATTGAGTTTAAAATATTTAATACAGTTATATTCATTATGTGATAATGAAGAAACAGCCATACTTGAAGAGCAGAGAAACAGAATACGTTTCTTGGATGTAGTGGAATGACAGCATTCAGGGCACAAACAGTTAACATTATTGGCACTTAGAGCTTTATAATTAGGCACCGAATATAAAAGGGATGCTGCCAAGGCTTGTAGGCCTAAAATTAAACGGACCAGCTGTGTTTTAGCACATGTGAACATGACGCAGGTGCATGTTATGCCATATTGCAACTCTTCCTCCATAGCCTACTATCCTCCCTATTAGAATCTTACTCTTTTACTATTTCTGGAAACAGAATTCTTGTTATTATGGAAAGAAGGAGGTAGTAGATAAACAAACTAGAAATGACAAGAGCACGAGAAAGGCACAACAAGCATAGACAATGTGGAGAGAGATTTAATGGCAAGCTATTTCCTCTCTCTTCTGTTGGAGCTGCTAAAGAATCTAACATTGTCTCTACATGTTATCCAGTTATTCATAAATGGAAAATGCATACACAGCTGCTTGAATGGGAAGCAGAACCAGGACTCCTTTCCCTCTCTGCTTAAATAGCAGCAGTATAATTAGTATAGGCCTCATTTGGTTTATTCTTGCTTTCCCTTTTGCTCCCACTCATTCTGTAGATGAGCAGATCTTCCATTCCCTTCACTGCAAATGCCTAGTTTATTGGAAGCTTGGGACATGTTTTCAGGCTACGATTTCTTGCTGCCTCATTGTTATCTCAACTGTTATCTCAAACCCCTTCTTTTCTGAGTTTTTTTTTTCCCATGTCTTTTTATAAGGCTAAGATATTTCTTCTTGGGGCTTGAAGTTTAGATTACCTGTCTCAGAATCACATCACTATATGTTTGTCTGCCGTGAACACAAGCACAGATGTTCACTTGTGTGTTTGTCTCTTAAGTATTTCCTGATTTTAGGTTTTTTTTTCTGGGTTTAAGCTGAATATGAGTCATTCAGTTCAACTCTTCTCTGAAATTTAGAATACTAAAGTTAGCCCAGCCCTAGTTCAATCTGTCTCATTCGCAGATCAGAGGTAACACTTATCAGATGGTTCTGTATATGATACTGCTGTAAAGAGAAGAGAAAGAGAAGAAGAAAGTGGGTTACGGGGACTGTAATCTCCTTGGGTGGGCTGGGAATTGCTTCTTCTCTGGAGATCAAGTGAAGC